CCCAAAGCAACCTTCATGATGACATTGTTTGCTTCTGAGATAAGGATAGTCCCAATTGCATGTAAGCCACTCAAATTATGATGGAAACTAGAAGTCTTTTAGATATGTGTGCCAATCAACACGATTCATTTGAATGGTTTTTGTTTAGTTGTTCTTGTGTATAAACTTTATTCCTCAGTTGTGGCTAAAGCTCTTAACCCATCCAAGGAAAGAGTCTGGCAGACAAGAACAGCAACAGCCACGTAAGGTCCCTGTTAGAGAAACAGGAACTCTTTCAAGTCACAAATTATCATTATAATACCAGTATGGGCCTCAGCCTGGTTAAAGCATTCATCAGAGATGAATCATTACAGGTGGAGAGTCAGGGCAACGACACAGACGATCATTGTAAACGATGCCCGAGCTATTTGCTGTGGGATTGATGGGGCAATAACTTCACTCAAAAATTTCTAATGTTGCAAGCTAGACATGAAGTAGGCTGCGCTTTGTGATTTGAAGTGAAAGCCAATGAATCAAGGATCCTCTGTGCTAAGGATTCATTGAGGCATTTTGCTTCATACTTGGATAACTTCAATAGCATCCTAACAGCTGATCTGGTCTGTAGTCTTTCACCACTTGAGAGTGTTCTGCCCACACTGCCATATTCATACCTGAAACGGGTCCATATCAACCCTCATCCTCAGCCCCTAACAAAATCCATACATCATCAGGCACAATGGCACACTTATAATACCAGTACTCAGGACGTTAAGGCAGGAGGATCAGGTTCAAGGTAAGCCTGGGCTAATTATCAAGTGCAAGGCCAGCCTGTACAAACTGAGACCCTGTCTCGAAATGATCCCATCCCCCCTCCAAGTTACCATAAGTCTTTGACTGGATGGAATCTAATCTTTCCAGGTTGACATGTTTCAATTTCCTCTTGCCTCCAAGCTGATCGGCCCATCATCCTCACGCCTCTTACCTTTACACTTGCTTCTACTAGGTTTGACCTAATACTAAACTTTACTTTGTCCCTGCATCTTCTGTAGAGTACTCCTGAACCATCCCCACCTTCCTCCAAAATAATTTATTCATCCCCATTGATCTTGAACACATACCACTTATACATAGACATTTTTCTCACAAAGCCCTTACTTGTTCCTTTAGTGCTGGATTCTTCCTTTGATTGATAGAATCTTTGCATTTGATACCACTTTAATCCTGCCCTGTCCCAGCCACATCTATTTAACATCCTCTATGACCCAAAACTCTGTACTCATACAGAAAAGAGTCCACGTGTATGCAGCTGTTCTACCTGAGTCCTTTGTAATTTGAGGGAGTATGAACTAGTTTCAAATGTTGGAAGGGGTGAGCAGAAGCCAGCTTCTGTTTGCCTTGTTTCTGTAGCAATGTAACCTTCCATCAGCTCTTCTCAGCAGTAAATTCTTAGCTTTTGTGAGCTGGGTATTCAAATTCTCTTAGAAGCTAATTTTAAAAGTGTGCTTTCTTTCTTCATCCCCAAACCAGAAAATCGCTATAGCCTTGCCAGATTCAGTTTTAATTTCCTGACTTAGTTGAAATAAATATAGATAAAGACATTTTCCTTGAATTTCACAAGGCCTTTAATTTGAGGCACAATGTCCATCGGTAACTGGACAGTGGTAGGAGCATGAAATGTCTCAGATGTTTGTACCTAGGCTCCTATTATCCCCTTGTGGAAACCTCTGTGAACCCCACATACTTTGGAGGTGTTCTGATTACAGGTGTGGAAATGCTAAGAGGAACCACAGTCAGACTGAGGGCGATAATTCAACAAAGAATTTTTAGATAATCTAGAGTATGATCATCTCTACCATTGAACAAACTTAAGCAAATTAAAACTGGGTATTCTGATACCTTGGAGGCCATTACAAAGTTCCCACCATGCACCGACAAGTGCTTAGCATGCTGACGTGATACCCATGCCTCTTAAAGGAAGACAACAACAACAAAGGAATGTGTAGCTTCACCACAAGCTTCCTGACTTTATACGCATCCCTGCACCATCTCTAATATCACAGCCAGACTCTATTAAACAGCATCTTCCACTGGGCAACTTCAGGTTCCTCTGCCTCTGACACTACTGCCGTTTAATCCATAAGTGATGCTCATAGCCAGGTAATGAGAGAGGAGAGGTGGTGGAGACGGAGTGACAAGCATTTCAGTTGTAGCTCAGTGTTGGTGAGTGGGGCTGTTCCTAGAGGAGAGGCTGGTGAGCCTGCTGCATTTCCCTGTCTGTTTCCTCTTTCACCCAGAAAGCGCATCTCATTACCACAGAGTCAGCACCCACTCATGTCAATCATCTCGGGGCCAGATGCCTCTCTTCTTATCACAGTATGTTCTATAACTGTCATGTGCCGTGCCTTATTCTGAGGCATTCTCTCAGGCTACCTACTCCCACAAGCTCCTAAACGCACTGACATCCTGCCTAAAATAGAACCCATAGTCCTGCATTTAAAATGCAACAAGCTTCTGCAGCCAATCAGAGGGATCAGGAAGCTAAGGTCTAAGACACTCCAGGCAGCTGGAGTGGGCAGGTCTGTTGCTGAGTTTTCACTGTGCATGTGTTGGCCATCTATATCCAATATAGATTAGGACAGGAGGCTAATCCCGTGTCTCTCTTACAATACCTGTGGGGGGTCACAGGAACTGGCTTTTAGCCTAATGTAAGACCGCTCATCAATAAAGTACTTATGCATTATGATCTATTGATGTGGACTCCTCCTGACCTTGCTTGCACCGATGGGACATGTTCATTGCTGCCACTGCAAGGCAGACACTGCATGCTTGTTCAGGATACCTGCAAGCCTGAGAGCCCATAAGGGATGGCTGGCCAGGCCACTTCCACAATAATGGCTTGGCCTTCATCACCATCCACCAACAAATGCTGCTGATACCTCATAAGTGCACAGCTTGCCCATTTTTGCCATCCCACAGGCCCGCTGTGCTAGAAGTAATGACAGTTGGGGAACTATCTGCCCAAATGCAATAGTCTAGTGGTTCTCCCATTGCCCCGCTTGCATCTGGAATCCTGAATTCCAGAGCCCTAAAGCCATTCACTGAAAACCCATTTGCTGAGACACCACGTTCAAAGCCCTGTGTGAGTACTGTGCAGTAGAAAACACTATCATTTGTGAACTGGGTCCACAGGGAGTTTATCAGCCAGTGGATAACTGTAGATAGGATCTGGAGCATTGGCTAAGAGCTAGAGTTCTTAAACATTCAGCGTACAGTGTCTTCCAGGTGGTGGGACTCAGGAGATATGTGGAAAAGCAAGCATTCAGGGACACTGGTCCAGCTCTGTTGCCGGTATACCAACTCCCCCAGATTATTCCCCAGAGTTCCTCTCCGCACTTGTGTCTGATATATAAAGCAGAGACCTGGCTAATCCCCAGTTCATTTCAGAGAGGTCTTGTCAGAAGACGGGATGAACTAGAATGTCACATCAGAGTGAAGTCATGGACCAGGTCACCAGGGCTTACAACTGGGGAACAGACATCGGCAACAACTTGTAGTGCGATGCTTAGTATGTGTAGGAGAAATAGCCCCACACCCATTACGCTATGACACCCCTTGAGGTTCTACCGCTCACAGTTTGAGGTTTTGTAAATTAAACCTCTCCCTCGCAATGCATATTACGTCCCCATTTTCAGATTCTGTAGATACCCTGGACATTTGTTGCTCCTGGACATGGTGTCTTCTATCACCATAACCATATCAAAGCACTTGCCTCCTACTTTCGTCCCACACGATCCCTTTGCTGATGACAGAAGCCACTGGAGGCCAAGGCACTGGTCTGCCCCTAGCACAGAGGCTGACACCCCTAACACCACCTTCCACTTAAGCTGGGTATCTCATCATTCTGATTTGAGTCCTTGCTGTCACATCACCACTGTTTAAAGAGTTTTAACCCTTTAGGGTCTGACCTAACTCTCTGAAGCCTTTGAGAGGCTGAAGTACCATGACAGATGTGACTGGTTGGTGCCCTGACTAGGGACATTCTGTTTTCCTGTCTCCAGAGTATGATCTCTCAACCACATGCATGCAGGATGTTTGCTTGAGGTTGTTAGTCTACAGAGTAAAGAAGCTGACCTTGAACTTAATAGTGAGTAGGATAAAGGGCAGAGACAGAGAAAAAGATAAAGGACACAAGGGGCAGACTGTAGAAGGCTAACCCCAGCGTTCAGTAGGGCATGTAGAACTGCAGTGAGGGGAGGATGCAGTGTGTAGAGCTCCAGTGAGGGAAGGATGCAGTGTGTACAGCTCCAGTGAGAGGAGAACGCAGTGTGCCGAGCTCCAGTGGGAGAGAATACAGTGTGTAGAGCTCCAGTGAGGGAAGGATGCAATGTGTACAGCTCCAGTGAGGGGAGAACGCAGTGTGCCGAGCTCCAGTGGGGGAGGATACAGTGTGCCGAGCTACAGTGAGGGAAAGATGCAGTGTGTACAGCTCCAGTGAGGGGAGAACACAGTGTGCCGAGCTCCAGTGGGAGAGAATACAGTGTATAGAGCTCCAGTGGGGGGAGGATGCAGTGTGTAGAGTTCCAGTGAGAGGAGAATGCAGTATGTGGTGCTCCAGTGAAGGGAGGATGCAGTGTGTGGTGCTCCAGTGAGAAAAGGATGCAGTGTGTACAGCTCTGGTGGAGGAAGGATGTAGTGCCTGGGTCCACAATGGCCTTAAGTACTAAGAAATCTCTTCCTCCTGTTCTGTGGGCAGAAACTGCATGTATAAACTTTCATCAATACTAGATTCTATTTTTAAATAAGATAACTGTCCCCTTGATGAAGCCAGTGCATGTGTAGCTTTTCCTTCTTTAAATGTTCCTGCCTAATATCTACTCCATGCCATCAAGCCCCGGCCTGCTTGTAGATCCTGCATGAGCTCCTGACAACATTCCTCATGACAAGGTCACAGTATGGTCTTCATCTGTTCTAGCAGACCCGGAATCCACCTGGCTCCTCACCTTCAGGCCTATCTCTTGCAGATTATTGGGACCATTCCACTGATGCCTAACCCAGGGCCATCGAGTCAAGCAACAAGTGGCACTCAGGGCCTTCAAGTACAACCTATCACGCCCCAGCTCCTAACCAATGCCCAGGGCCAGATCATTGCCACGGTCATCGGAAACCAGATCTTGCCTGTGATCAACACTCAGGGTATCACCCTGTCCCCCATCAAGCCAGGCCAGCAGGTAAGGGTCCCACACCAAGGTTTCAGTTCACTTCCCCTGTCCTCCTTTCTCTTATTTGCTCTCAATGTAAAGCAAATTTTGCATTATAAACGATTTCTTTAAACCTAATGTATCAATACTTATAAAATCACACAGATTTATTTCCCACTCTTAGCGAATATAAGCAATAACATGAATAACTCCCTAATATACTATCAGGAACATATTAAATTATAACAGACACTGTGACCAAAAGTCAGTTACAATGTGTCCTCCTTAACCTAGACTGCTGCAGCTAAGGCAGCCTGGATAGCCAAGACTGGCTGAGGGTGCCAGGATTGAGACATGGAGGCTTCTTTTCAGGTGGAAGAACAGCAACCTTTATTTTGCCCAGCAACCTTTTATACCTCTACTCCTTCTGTGGAGAACCACTGACCAGAAATAACACCAAGATCCTTGTCAATTACAGACAACAAGGAAGTTCCGTTGTTAGCCAGGGGGAGTGAGGGCAGCTGGATCACAACACTAGACCCAATATACTTTCATTTTAAAATAGAGCTACAAAGGAGCACAGCCTATTTATGCCTTAACTGTAAATGAAAAAATTATTAAATGCAAAGCGATACCAAGCTGAAACTCTGCTGAAACAGCTGTCTACAAATTAAGAAATTAAGGACAGGGAGTTCTACTCAGTAATTTCACCAGAACTCTGATGGTGGTTTACTTTTTCATTCAAACACCGAGTGTTTTCCCATGTGTTTATGCTGGAAGTTGAGCATGTAGTACTGCAGAGGAAAGATGTGGTCCTTGATCTTCATGGATATTTTGGTTGACTAGTTCCTTCAATAAGCATTTTTGATCATCTAAAGCAAGACTCAACTAAATGCTAGCTAAGAAGCAGAGCTATGCTTTCTAAGTAAAGAATTTATGGTTTTATATGGGACATGGGCTTACATAAACAGTACCCTTTCCCAACAAAACAGAGCAGGACCTGTAACAGAACAGAAAAAGTAAGAACTGATAAGGAAAGGAATTAACAACACTCCAGGAAGTAAGAACAATAAGCACAAAGGGAAGGAATGTATGCTGAGGGACCAGGGAACACAGAACAGGCTGAGGACATTTGAGGGTAGGGTGTATAAACAAGCAGGAAGCATACGTTTTATCTGTGTGTGCTCTTGAAGATGTCACATGCCAACTTCCTGCTCAAATTTTCTCATTTGCAAAAATAAAATGGGATGGTGATACCAGTATCTACTTCAAAGAATATGTGTAAGGGTTAGAGGGTTAGAATTGTGTCTGGTGTGCAGCAAACTACAATCTAGTCACAATACTACTGAGGTGGTGTCTTCTCTACTGCTGTTGGCAATAAGGATGCCAAACTGGGAACTCTAAGAGGTGGGTGTTGCCCAAGAAGGAATTATGTACTTAGTTATTTCCCCTAAGAAAATAAGTCTGATAGTGGTGTGAAAGCTGAACTGAAATGATGAGATTTCCGTCATAAACAAATGGTTTAGAGGACAATAGTGGAACCCAAGTCAGCATTATTGAGAGTTCCTCCTGGACACCAACTGACACAGGGGTCCAGGTCATTCATTGTAACTGAAAAATAAAGGAGACACCTAGAGATATCCTGAAGAACAGGAAAAAAAACTGTCTGGAAAATGCCAACTCTTACGAAGAATAGTAGAGGAGGGCACAAAGAGACGATAGACAAGTAGGGGAGGAACCTGGATTGAGGCTACCTAGCACATAATGAATGATGAAACATTAGGACCCAGGCAGGCATCAAATGCTGCAGAGAAGTCTTGAGTTGAGCACATTTTAAAGTGGGGGTCAGTTCTGTTTTAAGCACTTTGAGTCAGTTAAGTAGGGCCAAGAGCCAGTTTTAAGGTTGAGGTGTACATTGATAAAACAAAGATAATGGAAAGGAACGTGAAAGCTAGCAGCCAGTGTGTAGCTAGGTATGGTAGTTTAAAAGAAAAGGGTCCCCAAGGGAGTGGCACTCTTAGGAGGTGTGGCCTTATTGGAGGAAGTGTGCCACTATAGGGGCAGGCTTTGAGGTGTCTTTTGCTCAAGCTTCCCTCAGTGTGACAGTCAGTCAACTTCCTGTTGACTACAAGCTGTAGCGCTCTCAGCTCCAGCACTACATCTGCCTACACACAGACATGCTCCCCACCATGTTGACAATGGACTACACCTCTGAACTGTAAGCAAGCCACCCTAATTAAATGTTTTCCTCATAAGAGTTGCGTAGTCATGGTGTCTCTTCATAGCAGTAAAAACCCAAACCAAGACACTTGGGATACAACTTTATATATTGTTGGGAGACTGTAAGATATGAATCAGTTGGGGGATTAAAAAGGAAAGGTGTAGTGTGGAGCTGCGGGCAGGCCTGCTTTTCATCCTGCCCAGCTCCTGCATGGCTAGCTTAGCCCCGGAAATAACAACACACAAATTGTATTCATTTAACCATTATCTCTAGAGAGTTAGTTACTGACTAACTCTCATATTTTGATATTAATCCATTTCTAATAATCTGTGTAGCACCACGAGGTGGTGGCTTACCAGAAAAGATTCAGCATGTCTGACCTGGTGGCTGGCTCCATGGCGTCTGCCTCACTTCCCTTCTTCCCAGCATTCTGTTCTGTTTCCTCCACCTACCTAATTTTCTGTCCTATCAAAGGGCCAAGGCAGTTTCTTTATTGACCAATGAAAATAACACAATAGACAGATAACCCTCCTCCATCAGAAAGGGATGAGAACAATGGAGCACCAGCATTGCCATTTGCTATGGCAACACAGAAAATCCCTCGAGAGACTTCAGCATCATCTGTGCTTTCCCACCTCAGCAGTGCTCAGAGGCTATGCATAGAAACCTACTTGTTTACCCAAATAGTATTAAAAATATGTTTACTGGAAATATTTTTTGCCCATCAACCATAGGTCAGACAGTGTACCTGAAAGCTAGCTGTGTAGATAGGCAAGACAGGCTTCCTGGTCTCTCTTTTTACAGAGTTTACAACCTAGCAAGGAAGATCCAGAGTCCTAAAAGACTTGTTCAGTTATATAACCACTCCATGGTAGATGTCATGAGAAAAAAAAATGCAAGAGGAATATGACACTGTTGAGAAAGAAGTAGCTGTCACCTGGAAGCACACATCATGGAAACCAGGGCCTATGTCTCTCTCTGCACTAGAAGTGTATTCTTGGCCAGAGAAACCACTGTTTCTAGCTGGACTCCAGGCCTGGAAGATGTCCCTGGCAGACCCACCTTTAAGCTAAAGACCTTCCCACCCACAGTCCCCTTTTGCTTTTTATAAGGGTCCGTTTAATTGCTTGATTCTCCACCTTCAAAAGAGCCAAGCTTCTCTATCTTTCACTGGTCTTACTAGGTAGTCCAGACTAGCACGGAACTTGTTGTGTAAACCAGACCACCTTGAACTGATGGAGATGCAGCTTCCTCTGCTGGGATCAAGGTGTACATCACATACCCAGGTCCTTTGGCTTCTTAAACCCTAGCTCTGTCTGTTTCAGTCTGTTCATAATTATCTCTATTTTCTCTAGGGAGAAAAATGAGACCTGCTTCTCTTCTCACAATTTTATTTAAAATTTAAAAAAAGTAAAAGTATTTATATCAGCAAAGTTCTAAATTGTCAGAAAGGGTGATTAATTAGTTAGAGATAACGAGTAGTTGATATAAAACTTGCTCTCACACTCATTTTGAATTTCAAAGGTGGCTATAGAAATAGGCAAAGGGCCTGATCGATAAAGAGTCACTTTTCATCTCTGCCCACAATAGCTACCAGCAGTATTTCCAGTCTCTCTCAAGCACCCAGAAACCCTTCTGGAGCTTTTCCACCATATTTATCTCTCCTGGAATGGACCATCACTACGGCTGAGGGAACAGCTGGCACATCACTGTATTGACCTGGAAAACTCACTTCAGTTACAGCTAGCATCCCAAACAGTGGGGTCTCCTCTGCAGGCAGATGTGCATGCATCTCTTCTGTACACGTGTGTATACTTGAGAATTCAAGAGAACAGCTGAGAAGGATGTGGGCATAGTCACCTGCCCCCACGTCACAGCAGCTGCCAAGCCTCTTATTCCCAGCACAGCCAGAGTCTGTCCTAACCTGGAAAAGCTAAGGGAAACAGACTGACCCTGTTCACAGGTGCCAGGGTAGACACAGACAGAGGAGTTTGTCTTGGCGTTAGCTGTAATTGAAACACGTTGGAGCATGAAGTTAAGGTATGGAATTAGGCAAGCCACCAGTAGATATGCAAGTTTAGGTCCTGGGCACAATAGCTATGATCCCAAACATCCGATCACTCCCAATCAACAGTGAAAACCAGAGGTATGGAACAGTGGTCTTCGCTTTGTCTTCAAACAGTACCCTTGGCGCTGAAGCAATGTAATAAGGACAAGCACTGAAACTAAAGGATCTCTCTCATCCAGCAAGAGGCTTCTCAATTTATTCTATTGAATGATTTATGACAAATGCTGGGTCTCTCTCACAAGAGTGTGGCTCTAACAGTAAAACATGTCATAAATTAAAGGAAATCCGCATTAAGTACAAAGCTCTCAGTTAGGTTGGATGATGAGGAGTGGGTCATTTTGATTTTTTTTTAAATAGTACTAACCATACCTGAGGCTTTCCATCCGTTTCCTAACACTAACTAAGAGGACCTGAATGAAATCTAAGAATGGAGTGTCCAGGACTCTTCGTGACTTATCCTGGTGATGAAAGATTGAGAAGAGCCTACTGTATTGTCTGAAACACAAAACAGTACTTTAGAGTTTAGCAGAATCCAACAGTCCTAGATGAAACTCCATAGAAACTACCAGATCAGAAAAGTTTGATGAGCAGGGCAAGGACATAAAAGAAGAAGATAAAAAAGAGAGCCAGATAAAGCTCTTTGTGTATGAAAACGAGAGTAGTTAGTGGGGGCTCAGAAGCAGCCTTTGGTTCCCTGCCCTGGATTTTGTGGCTGCCCTGGCTCTTGAGGACTCATTTTGG